TCTCTAGAAGACTGACTTATTTCACTTAGCATAATACTCTTTAATTAATGCTATTGCACTTTTTGGTAAATACCCAGTAATGCCATTACTGGATCATGGGGTAGCTCTATTTTTAACTTTTTGAGGCACCTCCATACTGTTTTCCACAGTGGCTGTACCAGTTTGCATTCCCATCAACGGTTCACGAGGGTTCTTTTCCTTCACATCCTCACCAACACTTGTTGAAATCTCTTTTTAAAACAATCCTAGTGATAGTAACTGGCAAGCAATTCTATGGACTCATAAGAGATGATGTGTTTGTACTAACAGCCTTTATCCACATTTGCCATAGGTTTCGGAGCTGACAAAATTCTTCAGTAGAGGGGTTAAATGATTTAGAAAGCTAGGCTGAGGTGGGCAGCATCCCAGGTGCAAAGAGAAAAGAGGAGATGAGAACAGGGCCGGCTGATTACAAAATGGTGACACCTCTTCTTGCGTTCAGCTCCTTACATCAAAAGGTGGAGTCTATCTTCACCTCTGGAATCAAGGCGGGCCGCAGGACTTGTGTTGACTACTGGAAGGGAGAAGTGATGCGATGCCACTGCTGACCCTACATCTGAAGCAGGCCTTGCGCTCTTCTGTCATCTCTCTCAGAGATATAGGAAGCCAGGGTCAGCCGGTTGGAATGGGAGAGATCAAGGGCCGCTGAGGCCGGTCCAGCAGGAGCCCGCTCTCTCGGACTCGCCAGGTGATCTCACTCTGTGACCACACCCAACTGAGAGCTCTGAGCCCAGTCTGGATTAGCAGCAGCATCTTGCCGACCCAGAGATTTGTAAGTAAACTTAACTACTTATTGCTGTATGCCATTGGAGTTTTTATGGTTGATTGTTATGCAGCATTACTGTGGCCATCGATAACCAGTGGAAGAAGCAAGGGAAGGGTGAATGCTCTCAGGAGTGTGCGGTTTGAACTCAATGTCTGGCAGGATGGTTGGGAGAAATGAGTAAGAGAACATGTATCCAGTGTTTGGCCCAGGGTCGGCACATTTATTGTAGTGGCTCCTTGAATGCTTGTTGAATGGACTGTGGCTGGGAATGGCAGGGGAACGGGGGTTTAGGTTCAAGTCAGTACAGCTAGTACTTGGATTCTTAGCTTCCTGAGGGTGGGAGCCAAGTCTCTTATCCATGTTTCATCCTGACTTCATAGCATATACTGCAAACCCCACATACATTAATAATAAAGTACAGGGAGCTCACCAAGCAAGTGGCCTTATGCTCCAGGACTGGCTTCATTTGGTTTTGTAGAACACTTTGTTATTTCTGCTTAGTTCAATGAGGGAAGAGTTCCATTAACATTTTCCCTCAGTCTGTCCTCTTATTAAGAATGCCGGGTAGGGGGCACCTGGGTGGCTTAGTGGGTTAAAGCCTCTGCCTTCGGCTCGGGTCATGATCTCAGAGTCCTGGGATCAAGCCCTGCATCGGGTTCCCTGCTCAGTGGGGAGCCTGCTTCCTCCCCTCTCTCTCTCCCTGCCTACTTGTGATCTCTGTGTGTCAAATAAGTAAATGAAATCTTTAAAAAGAAAAAAAAAGAATGCCAGATAGTTCTTATGTCTCTAGATTTCTATTTTCAGTTTCTCTATATTTGGAAAGAATCCATGCTTGTGCAGTCGACTGTAGCAAAATAATCCGGCAGCCAGAGGTTTCAACAGAGCCTTATACCACAACTTGTAAAAACTGTGCTTGCTTCTGTAGGCCGAATGACAACTTTAAGGAGACTGATATCCAGATCTTAACTTTTTGTCTGTTTGTATGTTGATTACCCATGCTAGTTAACTAATGAGGTAAAAATCCTATCTTCTAAAATTTTTTTTTTAAAGATTTTATTTATTTATTTGTCAGAGAGAGACAGAGCAAGCACAGGCAGACAGAGTGGCAGGCAGAGGCAGAGGGAGAAGCAGGCTCCCCACAGAACAAGGAGCCCGATGTGGGACTCGATCCCAGGACGCTGGGATTATGACCTGAGCCGAAGGCAGCTGCTTAACCAACTGAGCCACCCAGGCGTCCCCTATCTTCTAAAATTTAAATCATCAGGCATAGAGATGGTCTTCCTAAGAGAGGCAGAAGAGATGAACTTCTTTTTGCTTGAGCTTGGAGCTCATCTGAGTCAAAATGGAAAGCTTTTTGGGTCCTTTTCCAATCGCACCCATGTTAGGGGGCCCGACTTTTGGCTTGGCCTCCCTGATCAGGACTGCTCTCCCTCACATGCCCTGACCACTCCAGATCTGTCTTGACCAGCCTGGCAGGCTCTGGACCCAGGCTGTCTGCAAGATCCGACAAATCCCAGCTCCCTCATTTATTGGCTATGAATTTTTGGTTCAACTGCTTCACCTCTCTAGGCCTCAATTTCCTTAACCTTCAAGTGGTGATAATACTAGTCCTTGTTGTAGGGTATTTGATGAGATAATCAGCTCAGAGGGCCCAGCAGGGTACCTATTAAATGTCAGCCATTGTGATCTAGTAAAGTAAGTAGGCTGGTAATCAGTTAATGTATATACTTTCCAGATATGTTTGCCTGTACACTGGGGTTTTTGTTTTTAACTTTTTTTTTTTTTTTAATTTATTTGACAGATCACAAGTAGGCAGAGAGGCAGGCAGAGAGAGAGGAGGAGGCAGGCTCCCTGCTGAGCAGAGAGCCCGATGCGGGACTCGATCCCAGGACCCTGAGATCATGACCTGAGCTGAAGGCAGAGGCTTTAACCACTGAGCCACCCAGGCGCCCCTTGTTTTTAACTTTTATTAGAAAATAACTTTGAATTTACAGAGAAGTGGTAAAAGTAAGAATAAAATACAGAACACCCATATAGCCTTTGTTTAGATTCACTTACTGTTAGCATGATAGCCCATTTGCTTTATCATTCTGCATGTGTATAATATATATGTGTATATATGTAACACACACACAAATATATATAATTTTTTGAATCATGTGAAAGTAAGTTGCTTATGTCATGAACTGTTATTCCCAAGTATTTCCATTTTTTAAAGTAAGCCGTATACCGAACATGGGGCTCAAACTCATGACCCCGGGAGTCCCATGCTTTACTGACTGAGCCAGCCAGGCACCCTCAATACTTCCAAAGAATAACGATATTCTGATATTCTCTTACTTAACCACAATACCATCAAATTCAGCAAATTCGACTTCAATATGTTACTCTTATCTAATGTGTCTGTAGTGCGATTTTGTTAACTGATCCAATAATGTCCTTTATAGCATATTCTTCTTCTAGCAAAAGATCCAATCTGAGACCAGGTATTGCCTTTAGTTGCCCATATCTCTTGTCTCCTTCAATCTAGGCCATGCGGTCTGCCTTTGTCTTTGAATACACATTCTAATAGAGTGTTTGTCATTTTGAGTTGGATCAATTTTCCCTCAGGATTTAATACAAAATATGCATTTCTGGCTGGACTGTTGCATCCATGGTGCTGTCTCCTCAGAGCATCCCATGTTGAGGCACACAACGTCCTCTTCCCCTTGCTCACATTAATTTTGATCACCCAGCCAATCCGTGTCTGCCTTTCCGTTGTAGAGTCACTATGTTTCCCTTACAACTAGGAAGCAAATCATGGGGATGCACTTTACGGCAGTGCAGTACCTTGATTCTCATCAGATTTCCCTCTTAGTTTAGTATCCACTGATGATTCTTAATCTATGCAAAATGATGATTTTCCAACTGCAGCACTCCCTTCATATTTTCAAGTCAGCTTTTGGCATTCTGATGTAGGCAAGAGTCCTCCCTTACACGGTCAGCATTTGCTAATGGCTCCCTTCCCTAATGTGTGCCTGTTTTAGTGACTTCAGATTTGTTATCTGGAGGTATTTAGGCTTGCCCTTCCTCCCTTCCTTTCCTTTCCTTCCTTCCTTCTTTTCTTTATCAGTTTGGATTCACGGATTTCTATTTTTCTCAATGGTTTATAACCGTATTATTCTTAATGATTTTGATGGTCAAATTGTGCCAGATGTGGCCAGTGGTAGTCCCAGGGCTTTAAAATTCAGTTTCTCAATTGAAAAGCTCTATAAAGTTCCCTGAAGAGAGTTATTGTTTGAACCAGAAAGAGGCCTGGATCACTGAGACAGCTCTGTGCCAGTAGTGGCCATGAAGGTTTTCTACTGATGCCATGAACTTGCCCAGTAGTCTGAGAACTCTGTGCTGAAAACCCATGCTTTGTTTTCTTTACATGTTCAAGATGGGAAAGAACATTTGTTTATTGTAGGCCTTCTGCCATTCCTTTGTAGTTGTTTCCCAGAGACCACAACAAAGTACAGAATTCACAGTGTTTGGGTCTGCTCAGAGATGTAAGGAGAAACTGGGGCTCTTTTTATTATGGGCTCCAAACTCTTGGGAAGGGAAATAGTCTTGGTCAAATTATAGTACAATCATCTCCTTTTATCTCTCCAGGGACATTTTACTGGAAAATTGATGCTGCAGTAGAAAGAAAGCAGCTGGTAATGCAGTAGCAGAGCACATCACCCCTGCTATTTATTATACCTCAAGATTTATTTCAGGCATTAATTTACTCGTTGATGGAATATTTAAAACTATTGATGGAATATTTAAAACTATTAATGGAATATCTAATGTGTTTCTCCATATTAGGAAGAACTCATCATTTCCTACAGTCCATAGGATTTATAGGACTTTCTGGTCCAAAAAAATACCCACACTGTCTTTCCGTTGAGGTTTTATTAACTATGAAAAGAACTAACACTCTACCAACACTTACTCTGTGTAGGACATTGACATAAACACTGCAGTTTTACAATTCCAGGAGGGAAATTATGATCTCATTTTGATGAGTAGGAAACTGAAGCACAGAAATGTTTAGTAACTAGCCCAAGGTAACACAGCTGGTGGTTGAGGTAGAGTTGAATCTGGTCAATACGGCTCTAAAGCCCAATGCTCTAATCGCTGTGCAGAGACAGGAGACGGGGGTGAACATTTCTTGATACTCTTGACCTACCTGATATAATGAACAAATGCAATAAGCAGGCATCCCAAGTAGAAGGAGAAGAAGATGAGGGAACTGAGAAGGATGGATTTCACATAAACAGATCCTGAGGGAAGAGAAACAACTTTAGTCAGCGAGTCCTCAGGAGAAAAGAGGACCATGTTTGGGACAGGACAGCTTCAAGGGCCCATCTCCATCACACCCATTCTGAAATCCTAATACATTTCCATTTGCTGCAAAGGCAGCAAAGCTGCTGGAGTTGCCCCAGACTTTATCCACAAATGCCACCTTTCACAGTCATGAGTACCCAGTGGAAGCTAGGAAGGGACTTCCTGTATACAACTTCACAATTGAGTTCCCTCTCTTTCTGGAAGAGATTTAACAGAATGCTTTGACTGTCTTTTCTATCTCTAAGTTAAATATCAGTTTTCTTATGATGTTTCTCTGGAAGGATGACATAAGCAACGATGCATATGACTGACTTCCTGACATAGAAATCTTTCTCCATTGAATCCTAGAGCCAACACTGACCTTTAATGGAAGGAACAATGGTCACTTTAAGGTTCTTTGTTCGTTGTAGATTCCAGGTTTGGTTCTCCTTTTCTGGTAAAAAAGAACGAGGCACAGTAGATCAGATACTTGGTTCTTGGCCTTTCATCTGAACAGTTGTTCAAAACTGTCCATCATTAGCTCTGGTTGTTGAATTTTCTTGTAGCAAGAACTAGAGGAAAACCTAACCTCCAAAGTTGCAGACCATCTGATACCCCTTTGGGCCGAACTTTCAATTTGGCCTTTGCTTGGGTGCATTTTGGTAGTATTGAAGCAACGAGACTGCAGCCCCCACTTCTCAAGTGAAGAAGGCTCGACCCTTCCTCTGCTATCCGTGTGGCTCAGTAGGCCACAGACATCTGAAGGAAACAGCCACAAAAACAAAAGCTGTCTCATCTTTTGGTTTGCATTATTCCAGCCAGTGAAACTTTGTTTTTTGTTATATAGTCATAGAAGGACTTGTAGTTTACCAAAGATCAATGGACACTGGCAAAACTCTAGACTGCATAATTAAGAGATTAAAGAATGCATAAGCTGAAATTTCACCTAATGGCAAGGGAACCATGTTACACTCAATAGTGGACACCCTCTTTGTTAATCATGTGTGGCTCATCAGCTGCTGGGGGTCTGGTTTTCAGTCAACAGCCTGTGCCTTTCCCACAGTGGTTCCTGGGTAGTTACCCAGAACCATCTATCCTGTGCCTATGGGCTCACACAATCCCTGTCATGGGGAGAAACTGTCCCACTTTGCTTTCTTACCATCTTGCCAGGTATAATTTTGGCAACTGAAACTGAGAACTTTGAATTTTCCTTGTACATCCTGTGGAAATGATAACTGCTGATAAATACAGTGGCTCCATTACCAAATTGATCTTAGAAAGTGGACCCTGATATGCTATGTAAAATCATTATTTCATAAAACCAAATATCTGTTGAGTAAAAGGTCTACTGAGAGTATATACCTCACGTGGTCTGAGGGACTGTTTCTTACCCTGGATAAAGAAAGATCCTCCACAGGCGTAATCTTCAGGCTTTATCACAAATACCACGAAGAACTGCTCGCCTGGAAAATCCTTCTTCTGTGTGAGACATAACAACTAGTGAGAGCAAGAAAGGATAGCAAAAGGGGAGAAAGTCCATGGTGGGGGTGGGGGGAGGCAGGAAGAGAGGAAAGAGAAGAAAAGTGGAGCTCACCCCTGCCCTCTTATTTCTTAGAAAGAACCTTCAGATACCCATGATTTACTCCAGATTTTATCCACAATAAAATAATTATTACACACAAAAATTTCAAGCAAATAGATACACTATTCTAATTTCACTCTATGTTGTGTCCACTTAGGTGCTTAGAACTGTAATAGGTCCCAGGTAAAAAATATGTCAACAGCCTGTGTTTAATAATTAATACTTGTATATGCTGTTTTTAAAATAAGCATACTCTAGAGTGTTTTAGGTTCACTACATTAAGTCTTTATTATTTAAAAATCTAATGATAGGGGTGCCTGGGTGGCTCAGTGGGTTTAGCATCTGCCTTCAGCTCAGGTCACGATCTCAGGGTCCTAGGATTGAGCCCCACATCTGGCTCCCTGCTCAGCGCGGAGTTTGCCTCTCCCTCTCCCTCTGCCCCTTCCCCCTGCTTGTGCACTCTCTCTCTCTCTCTCTAATAAATAAATAAAATCTTTAAGAAATAAAAAAAAAATCTAACAATAAATGACTTTCCTGAAAATCACACAGCCACAATTAAGTAATTTAGGTTAGGGATGTGAAGATTTAAGTGAGGAGACCTGAGTTGTTAAGTCCTGGCTTTAACTTTCTCTAAGTGTGCTTCTCTGTGTCCCAGGCCCCTTACTCATGAGTGAACAAGAACAGCTATTTGGTGTATCAAAACCGAAGCACTAGGAAATTAAAGCTTAATAGAACTTTTGACATCTGATAGCTAAATTATAATTAACCTCTCTTCATTCCTTGTTATTCAGTAAACAGTATCACCTCACCCTGGAGAACAGACCAAGTTGTAAGTAACTTAGGTAAACACCACCCTAAAGGCAGGGACAGAATCTTTTTGAAAATCTACTGACATGATATATATTCATTTTTTCTATAAAACTGCCATTGAAATAATTTAATGACAAATGACAAAAGGGCGAACTGCTATACACATGTGATCTATATTCCTTTGAACATATCCATTCTGTCCAGAATGGAAGTCCTCTTTTGGTTACTGTTATAGGTATATAGAGTATTAGAATTGGTTCAATTCCTTTAAATAGATCAAGCTTCACACTAAATTGGCAACCCCCAATGAGGAGACTGGCATCTCACCCTACCTCTCTAAGCACTCTGTCAGATATGTGTCCCACTGCATCATGGGCTCCCAGGACTTCGCAAGGGGAATGGGGCAAAGCCCATGGCCTGGGCTTTGATTTCAGGAGTAGCGATCTGTTTTATTTTATTTTTTTTACTTTTATTTTTTAAAAATTTTATTTATTTGAGAGAAAGAGTGAGAGAGAGGGCACAAGTAGGGGTTAGGGAGGAGTATAGGGAGAGGGAGAAGGTGCAGACTCCCCGCTGAGCAGGGAGTCCAATGTGGGGCTCTATCCCAGGACCCCAAGATCATGACCTGAGCCCAAGGCAGAGGCTTTAACCCACTGAGCCACCCAGGCACCCAGCAATCTTTATTTTAAAACCTATCATAAAGGAAAGAGATCCAAGGCACACAGTGAATGATGATAATTTCTGGATGCTAGTCCAACAGGTAACCTGACCATAAACTATGTATTGTAGTTGACAATAGTGAACACAGAAGTGATGTCTCACCTGCAGGGTGATCGCAGCTTTCTTGGTCATGGACTGATAGACACCATTAAATTCCACATTGTGGTCGAGATCATACACTGGGCACTGTAATGCACATGAAGGATAAAAAAGAAAGCTTCACGAAGGCCATACTACACACACCACACATTCTGTCTGCATCACAGAGCAAGGGGTTCCTTACTAGGTCGGAAACCAGGAAACCTTTTCTCCAAGTAAAGTGATGAAACAGTCCTCCTAAAACTCAGTGCCTTGACTTCTAAAGTCCTCTCAAGTGTCCTCTAAAGGTCACTTTATATCAAAGAGACCTGAAAAGCTTGTCTTAAAGTGTATGACCCCTTTCCCATTTGTTACTAACACATTATGGGACGAAAAGGGGCTATGGTTACAATACAATTTTTTTAAAAAAGATTTTATTTATTCATTTGACAGAGAGAGACACAGTGAGAGAGGGAACACAAGCAGGGGGAGTGGACAAGGAAGAAGCAGGCTTCCCGCCGAGCAGGAAGCCTGATGCCAGGCTGGATCCCAAGAGTGTGGGATCATGACCTGAGCCGAAGGCAGATGCTTAACGACTGAGCCACCCAGGCACCCCTACAATAAAATTTTTAAAACCTAGGCTAAGCGGTAGGTTTCTATGTTTCTTGTGCAGCCCACAGTTTGGTCTTCCATATTCTTTGTCACAATCTGCCCTCCCTTCCTTCTTCCCTTTGTTTATTTTGGTGAGGGATTAAGTATTCTCTATCTCCCCCAAATCAGTGTCTCCAAACAGATTATCCACTTGTGTGCACAAGATACTGCTTTTATTATTTAGCAGTTTTGCAGGAGATACAGAGTAAGAGGACGACATGGTCCTCACCCTCCTCTTTCATTTGTCCTGGGACAATATAATGCTCCATATTGAAAGGCTGACACGTTATTAAGACTCACCATGATATTCTGGACTGAGACAACAGAACACGGATAAGCCATTTCAGACTGGACTTTAATGATAACCGAGTCCACATCATCAGGAAATTTGTATAGAAAATACTGAGAATCAGAAAAAGAAATTGATTTGTTAATATTCAAAAAAGTTTTACTGTTATGAACTCAAACTGGTTTTACATGAATAGGACTGTTTCCTCTCACATTAGACACAAAGTTCAGACATAAATCTCCATTAATTCAGTCAACCATTCCTCTCACATATAGTGAGCAACAGCTGTGTGCAGGGCTCTGGGCTTTGTGCCAGATATTAGGCACACAGCAGTGAACAAAACAAGGTAGCCATTTCAGAAATGTTGTCATTTCATTTGCTAACATTTCTCTCTCAACTCAACCTTCCGGCACTTCATTCCAGTTTCTGCTGAAGAAGATTCCTCCCAACCCTTTGAACTAGGGATAGTCAAGATGTAACCCGAAGACATTTATTTCTAGGTGATCCTTTTTGAAATAGGAAGCTCCGCTTTGAAAAGCAGATAAGCCTGTTCTTCAAGATTCCTAACAACCTTCCTTTAGGCAAGAATTACCACGAGACCTACCCTTGCTTCTAGACTTCTTGTTAAAGAATCTGTTTCCTGGCTGGAGTGTAGTGAGATGGTATTTCTGTTCAAAGATCAAGCACTATTTCATACCCTGAATTATGTTTACAATTTTGAGCAGTCTGAGACATCTTTAAAATTATTTCTCAGGTATCAACAGAATCAGGAAGCATTTATAATAGAAAGAAGTTATACCATTTACCCAGATTAGATTATGAATCCACTGTTTATTAACACTGAGTTTTAAACATGTTGCTAATAAATGAAGAAAGGAGACTCCTGTCTAATAATTATAAATGTGGTAACTGGTTGAGAAGCTTGACATAGAGATTTTGGGGACACCAACCAAAACAAGCCCAGCATCCTAGGACTCTAATAAATCTGTCGGTTTAAAGGAGAGACAAAACATGTTAAAACTTAATTTTGTATTCCAGCCTCCTCTTTACCAACCTTATACTGAGAACCAGAACAATAAAAATAGAATGTTGTCCAATAATCCAGAGCCTTCTGATGGGGAAAAAAAATAACCTCAAGATTAAGGAATGTCATTAATGCTGCTGCTTGGAAGTCTGTTCATGCCTTTTAACAGATGGCAACACTCCCAGGAGCCCACTTCATTCTGACCTTTCATTTTGGAGCTTGATTCATATATTTAACACAGGGCTCTTCCAAAGGTAAATGCTCTGGAATTCTCAAGGGGTATTTTTGGTTCTTAGGGAAGCCAAACTTCGTAACTCATGAGCATTACGGCGATCACCGTTAGCAATAATGAGTATCGTGTATATTCCTATATATTAGAGGGGTTGGTTTTATGCAAAAATTAGATAGCTATTGAAGCTTTATCTATATGCCAAAATTTTATCAATCTTCTTTATCTCTAAATTACCATCAACCCCAAATAAATATTTTTGACCCTTGTCTGGAAAATCTACTTTTATCAGAAAGAAACTAATGACAAGTACCCAAAGCAATGGCTCGGTTTCAGACCAGAAATCACCACCTTGGGTCTTCATTACTTATGTAGTTTCTGTAACCTGCTTCTATCAGATAATAAAGGTTCTGTGAGAATGTGTAATAGTTTGGGTGAGTTTATATAAATAGAAAAATCTGTCCTACAATTGAAGAGGATATAAAATTTCGGCCAAAATGGGAACAGTTAATAGTAAGGTCAAAGTTGCATAGACATCAAAAAAGTTCTCTTTTTATTAGTTTGTTCTAAGGATGTTTTACTCCAGTTTGAGATTTATATGCAAACTACTTAGACTTTCATATTTATATACCTTTTTAAAAATAAGAGGAAGCTCTCATATATAGTCATCACTGATTTTCTACAAACCAGAAGTACACTCTAGCATTCCATTACCATATTTAGTATAGTGCTGTATAGCACTATTAGACTAGACTCTTTCTATAGTTGGGGTGTAAGTTTTTTCCTCCCTCTTTAGATATCTCCTATTACACCTAGCCACTAGTGCTTTATATTTATTTTTTAAAAATTTAAAATCAATTAATTAACATACAGTGTATTATCAGCTTCCCAGGTAGAGCTTAGTAATTCATCAGTTACTTGTAACACCCAGTGGTCTTTACATCACGTTTCCTCCTTAATGCCCATCACCCAGTTACCCCATCCCCCCACCCCCTCCCTTCCAGCAACCCTCACTTTGTTTCCTAGAGTTAAGATTCTCTTACAGTTTATCTCCCTCTCTGATGTCAAATATTTCATGAATTAAGTGGCCAGGAAATGTTGAAGGTGAGAGATTGTGGCCCTCTAATTATGGGAAATTTAGCTCTGAAAAGATGTGTGGGAGCTGGCCCATACAGGTCTGGAAAGCTGATTGTGCCATCTCTTCCCAACTCTGTATTCAAGGACATCATGCTGGCAGTTTGAGATTAGCCAGAATAGAGGTATTTTCACCACAGAAATGGGCAAGTGCTACAAATCAGGAGCTTCTTTCTGGGAACTGGTCGTTCAATATTTACCAGCACATAAATGCCTGTCATAGAGTTACACCAGTATCCATAGATTATGTTAATCCCAGTTTTAGCATATCTGAAACAAAAAATTAAGCAGCCACGTATGACCTAAGCTATATTACAGCCTACAGAAAATTTACAAAAAATATCAGGACATTAAATGAATCTGTTATAAACTTGCTATCACATAGACTTTACTCTTTTAGAAGCTGCGAAAGAGAAAAGGAGCTAGAATTGTCCATAGAAAAGCAACTTAAGTGGGAGTTTTCAAGTATTTATTCTGTTTATGATTATGGTTTAATGGAAAGCACAGCATAAATATCTAATTCTTCTCATGTCAGCATTCCTGGTCTCTCTTTATGACAGGAATAACTAATTTATTCTACCTGTAACACTGTAGAAATTAAAGTCTGTCTTGTTTTCAGTGCATTTCCTGGTCAGTTAATTATTTGTGTACCTGTATTGTGTTTGGCCTTCCACTCCCTGGTCCCCCAGCGCCCATTTTGATTACAAGGTCCATGAGGGCAGAAGTTGCATCTTTTTCTCTTTCACCTCATATCCCCAGCACCTAGTACAGTTGAATACTGTCCTTGGTGCATAACAGGCACGCAGTTTGCTAAAAGTTGAGCCAAGGAACATCTGCCAACAGATGTCATGCCTCCCATTTCACACCAATTAAGGGGATAAGATTAAATGTTGTGTCTAAAATTCAAGTAATATGAACAACATGCCAAAAATGCAAATATAGCTCAAGCTGTGGAAAGTCTAAGGCAATACCACATGCTGACTCTACCCAATTACTGTGGCTTTCTGGAGGGTATTGAATCATGATAACCTTGAAACCCTTCACTTACCTGAGGTTGAGAGGGGCTGGCAGTGAAGTGAAAGGCAACATTTGTCCTGAGAAATGAAAGTGGGAGAGGAGAAAGGGGAAAAAGTGAGAGAGAAGCTAAGTTAGCAAGCAAAAATGATTTATGTAAAAGAAAACCATCTGAAAGTCGATGCAAGGAAAGTGTTTGCCATCAAACTGACAAAGTAAACTGCATGAAGATTTTCTTTCAACTCTCAAGAATGATCAATTTGGGGAGGGGATCAATTTTATGTCTTTGTATACCCATGACATCATACCTAGTAAAGTAATTACTTGTTTACTTTTGCAGACACTTTTGCCTTTGGATTCTCTTAAGGTTTTACAATCAAGCACAGGATTTAGGTGTCAGAAGTGGGCTGAAACAGAGAGGAAAAGAAGGCTTGAGGTCCTTTTTGGATAATATAGGTCGTACTTCAAAATAATTTGGATGTATCCATGGCAAAAGATCATTATTTTAAACGTGGTGAATACATCGTCACCATGGGAGGGGCCCTGGGGCTAGAAGCATACTCCTGACCCCAAGCACTTCTCCAAATGCCTGCCACACCAGCTAAAATTCCTGTCCATGACTGTGTCCTCTTCAGGTTACACATTGCCTTCTAAGGCCATCCTCTAAAATGCAAATACTACCACAAGAATATGATGAAGCAGTTTTCTCTCCAGTTGGTAATTTACTGTGAACTATTTTTTAAAAAATATTTGGTTTATTTATTTGACAGAGAGAACACCAGTAGGCAGAGAGGCAGGGAGAGGGAGAGGGAGAAGCAGGCTCTCCGCTGAGCAGGGAGCCGGATGCAGGGCTCAATCCCAGGACCCTGGGATCATGACCGGAGCCACCCAGGCGCCCCTGACTGTGAACGATTTTATTAGATATTTTTGTTCTTCTGTGAAAGACAGCAGCAGTCCAGCACTGAGAAAAGGAGAGTGTGAGGAACACGTGGGAAGCATAGCCTTGTAGCAGAGAGGGCTGGCTGGCATGAACACACACGAAATGGATTAAGAAGCTGGAGCACACAAAGACAAATTGGCCTTCTCTATAGTTTTGTAAGGGCTATTTTTGGCCTTTTACACTTTCTGGCTCCTGCCTCGTCTTTAGCTGCGAAGCTCACTCCCACAAGCCCACTGCATTCTCAGTGCTGGCCCCTGCGGACTAGCCTTTCCTCCCCAACCCCCCAGTCGGGCCTGTATTTCAGGAAACCTGAACCTGAACTTGTCCTGGGGCCCCTTCCCTTGGTGCTCTCTAAAGAGTCTTTCTCTCCACTACTAATTTTCCTTTAATAAAAGTTAGAAGTTTTAAAAACTTAACTGAAGATTCCTTTATAAAGGACATGTCAAAACATTTAACAAGAAGTTTATAATTGGAGGCGTTGTTTAGAAGTCATAGAACTTGAGCGCTATTTCTAAATTTAATGGCCAACAGTTTTAGGCTGTTGGCAGACTGGGTGCAGAATTTAGCAGTGGCTGCAATTTTTTGTGTAGCTACTCCGAACAGAAACGATCAGTGTCAAGGACTGCTTGTGTTGAACAATTGAAAACTTGTGGCCCCAAGTCAGCTAAAGAAGGCAAAGTCAGTGTAAAACGCAGTTGTGTGTTGACTCCTGAGATTCCACGACCAGAGTCCTTGGGACCCCATGCTGTGTGTGGCCTCAGTTCTGTTCAGTTGCCAGGTCAGGGGAAAGAAAAAGACACTGATTCTCTTGGCTAGTACACACAGCAAGAGATGTCCAGATGCAACCAGTTTCCTTTGGCCAGAGATTTCCTTTGTATACCCCCCTATCATTTGAATTCCAGTTGTAAAGCTGAATATATAGGCATCAATATGATTTTTCCCCCTTCTTTTTAATATTTTCCTTATGGGTATAATACGTACAACCTTCAAAACCATTATTTTCTTGAAGACTATCTCATTTAAGTCCTCTCTTTCTCACAGAGTCAACAGTGTAGGCAAAATAAACATTGTGTCTGTTGCTGCTGAAACATGTTTCTTCCTTCCCCAGGGGGCCACCTGCCCCAGGTTGAGGAAGGTTTATTTTTACCAAGAATCACTAACCAACAGAACAAAGCTGAGACTCCTGCACACCTAGAGAAAGAAGCGTAACATGTTCAACCTGTTTGTTTAAACAAATTAAGCACAGGAAACAAATGTTTATTCAATAAATAAGAAAAACTCAAAAGCTGACTTTGTTCCCTTGTTTTGCTTAGTTTGAGGGAGAGGGAAGAGGAAAGGACCAGATGGTGTCCAGAGAGGTGAGTGTGCAGATAAGGGAGACAGGAGAAGAAGAGTGAGAGGAGAAACCTATACAGAAGAGTAATAAAACAAAAGAACACGGAAAGGGTGGTGGGAAGAGAGGGAGGATGGGAAGAGAGGCAGGGACCAAAGCTGAGTTGTTCTTGGGGTGAGTACCAGAGAAGACTGTGAGATTGCCAGCATCTTCTTCATCCTGTGATAGCCAGCCCCTGGCACAGAGGCCAGTGTGTGTGGAAAACCCCCACTTTGTTTGCTGAAGGAAATTATGCCCTATTATTCACTTGGACTATGGACTTCAGAATACCAGTCCCTGTTATCTCCTTACTGCCATCTGTTATGAACTCCCCTCGCTACCCCCAACCCTCCCAGCAGCCCTCTGGTCATGGGTAAACTTCCACCTCATCGCTCTGGTCTGGGTATAAACTCCGCATGCCTGGGCTACATCTCACCCTTTCTTGCCTTCTCTAGGACTCTGCTTCTACAAAATTCAGCGGTCCTGTAAATTTTATACACCCTTGGCTTATAAATATACACTAATATCAACCACTTTCAAAATAAATAACAAAAAAACCTTCTACCCCAACAAAATGCCCCCCCCCTTCCTGTATTTCACTCCTTTGATGTCATTCTCTACCTGCCCTCTCCTTCACAAACCAGCTTCTTAAAATCATGTTCTGCTTTCATCCCTCATTCATCTTTTCCTCTCTCCCCTACTGTGAGCATTCTTTTCCCATCTTCCTGAAGTTGTCTTTGGTGAGGGTAATAGTCACCTCCTAATTGCTAACTCTAGTGACTTCATCCTTAACTTTACCTCTCTGGGACATGTGACTCTGACAACCACTCCCTCTGTCTGGAAACTCTTTCCTCCTTTGGGCTTTGTGACACCTGCTTTCCTGGGTTTTCTCCCACAAAACTGCTATGCCTGCTCTGCTGCTTTTGATAGCTCCTGTTTTTCAGACCATACCTTACATAAGAATGTTACCTGCTGTTCTTGACCTTCTCATTTTCCATAGCCATGTACATTATATATATATCCGATTGCCATAAAAATCACATACATATTCAATTGCCACAAAACTCACAAAAAATATCAGTGAATCTCAAGTCTCCACGTCCAGCCCAGGGCTATCCCTTGAGCTCCCATCATGGAAGTGTGATTGCCTGCTGAGCTTCTGCGCTTGGTTGGCCCTCAAACACCTCAGACTCCACAGGATCAGAATGGAATATGCTATCGTTTTTCTGATCCCGACCCACTATGGCTCTTGGGTAGTAAACCTCACCAGACTTCTGACATCATCGTTGGAGTCATCGTGGACTTCTTTTTTGTCAACTTCCCCATTTAATTGATCACCAAGTCTTACTGACTCTATTAGTGTATAAATAACCCGGATGTGCCTGACCCACCTGAAGTACCATCTTTGCCCAGTGTAGCATTTGGTAAGGAAAAAAATTGGAAAAGTAATGGAAATCATTATTGTAGCCTATCCCCAAACACCAGAGGGTGATTACATAGTATGACACATGGCAAAATGGTCTAAAAGCCTCTTTACTCTCCCATTTCCTCAAAAAAAAAAAAAAAAAATCTACTGAGTGAGATGGTAACTGTATTATCTCACTCAAGTTTCTCAAAACAAAGACTCAGATCCCTACTTAGAAGGCTGGAGGAGGGTCAGAGCCCGGAAGTACTCAGGTAGGACTGAATTTTTTATTCTGCCACATGTATTTTTTGGCATTTGTGGATTATCCCTGTGTATATTACTTGACTCTTTCTCTCCCTTACAACTTCGTTGCTGCTGTAATATGTTCAGTTCCTAATCATTGTTTACTCTTCTCGATTCAAATAACTTTTCATTTGCTTATTTGTCTCTGCCCTCTCCTCTCTCCAACTCATCTTCCATGTGACTACTCAATTCATCTCTAAAAATCAGATTTGTTTATTTTATCCTGTTGCTTAAAAGCTTTAGTGGCTCCCATAAACTGAAAGGTGGCATTTAAACTCCCTAGTGCAGGGGCACCTGGGGGGACTCAGTCACCTAAAAGTCTGACTTGATTTTGGCTCGGGTCATGATCTTGGGGTCATAAGACTGAGCGCTGTGTGGGGCTCCATGCTCAGCACAGAGTCTGCTCGGGTTTTCTCTCTCTCTCTCTCTCTCTCTGCTCCCCCCATTCCCACTTGTGCATGCGCCCACTCTCTAAAATAAATAAATCTTAAAGCAACAACAACAACTCTCTAGCACAGCATACAAGATCTCAAAGATCGAGGATTGGGTGCTACTACCTGTTTCTCTGTGCTCTCTCCTATTCTTCCACCTCAGGCACTGTGTGGGCCAGCCTCCCCGAAGCACTTAAACTCAGTCTGCTATCTGTAATCCAGACCTTTCTTCTGAGTATCATGCTAGTGTATAGCCAACCTTCTGCCCAACATCTGTACTTGAAGTTCAACATGTCCCAAAGTGAACTTACCATCTCTTCCTTCCTCAACCTTCTCATTTTCTTAGTGGCACCACCATCTACAAGGGAAGATGCCATCTTTGATTCTCCCATTTCCCTCACTCCTCATATCCAAACAAGTTTTGTCAGTTTCATCTCTCAATTCTTCAGTTCATCTCATTATTATCTTGACCACTGCATCAAGCCTTCTAATTTCTCTGCCTCCAGTCTTGTCCCCTTCAAATCCTCCATACAACTATGACAACTTAGACAACTACCTAACTTTCTTCACACCCCTTCCAAGCTCCTCCCATCCCATGATGAGGTGTCGGCCTGCCCCTACAGCCTCTGGCTCTTCCCTGTCTGTGACTTCACACTCCACTTCACAGAATGCTGGTCACTGGAATTTGGGACAATGAGTGGTGGCAAAGCTGTGTGTCTGTGTGTGTGTGTGTGTGTAGGTGGGTGAGGGATAGTTAGATGGCAGGAAGTAATGCTTTAAGGCAGAATTTTATTTTTAAGACTTGATTGGAATAAATAAATGTTTCATGGAATTGAGAAACATATTTAGGGCAACATAAAAATTTGGTGGACAGTTTTAAACATGAAGTAGAAATAGCATATTATAGTGTGAAGAGCTCAGAACTGGGAGTTAGAAGGAGATTCTAGTCCTGATTTTGCTCTTTCTTAGCTGTGTGTTTAGTTAAGTCACTTAACCTCTCTGGGCATCAGTTTGCTCAACTATAAAAATGAGATGAGTGGATTCAATTTCTAAAATCCCTTTCATTCTTAAAATTTATGATTCTAGAAAAAAAAAATCCTGAAACATGTTTCAGATACCTTCCAGGCTGCCACTCAATAACATACAACAGAAACTGCCATGTTAGGATTTTTGAGTTGATTTTTCAGTGTTTCTTTCATTATCTAGACTTTGGATCTCACCGTGGTCCCCAGCTCTTGTCTATTACCACCATCCTCTGGCTTTCTGGGTTGCCAGCAAGATTGGTATGGGACAATCCAGAGCCAAGGAACAAGAGACACAAATATATTTCCATTCCCAGTTACCATCTCTTCTCAGTCTTACTTATTCTCGTCAAAGCCCTAGTAATTGTGTGCATTTTGAAATGCTCTGAATGTCTGGTTGCTGAGGTCAAGTCATGTTATAAGAAGTGGAAACAGAAAACAATGTGAGGGAATAGATTTGCAGTCCCACCAGCAAGCTTATCATTCATTAACACTTGCACAGAGTTGTGACCTTATGATTTCAGTTTCACAGAATTCAGTCCTCCAAAGGGTCTAATTAACCTCCCAGGAAAACCAGCTTGAGAATTCAAGTACACTGCCACCAGGTGACAGCAACAGGTCAAAGACACAGAGACCAATCAGTAAATGTGAGGCTTCTCGGAAGTTCAAACTGCACTCTGTTCAAGGAATGGGCTGCCGCCTACTTCAAATGTATCATCATGAATTCCCCTATTGTTTAATATCCTAAATAGATTTAAGTATTAAAAGAATTAAATGTAAGCACCATGTTTAGAAATTACTTAGAGGTAGTGGTTCTCAACTCTGGCTATGTGTTAGAATCACCTGGGAAACTTTAAAAATATATATCCTAATGCTCAAACCTCCCTCCTAGAAACTTTCACTTTATTAATCAGGGTGGATTTTATCTACCAGAGAAATTTTTCCACCTTTATTCCCCACCAGGGGTGGGAGTGAGGGGTTTTTTGCTCTTGGAATTATTGTGTCACTTTTTTCTACACCCAAAATTAATGGAGGGACTTGGAAAAAATGTTGTGACTACTTCTCTATCCTAGCCATTCATTCGTCCATCTGTCCATTCATCTGTATGGGTATACATTGTCAAGAAGGTCAGAAGGTGCTAACACAACATGCCAAGCGGCTGATTTCCTCCTTGAGTGCAGACTTGGCAGAAGGGAGGCTGGATTGAGCACGCCCAAGCATGGGAAGAGCAGACAAATGAACAGAGAAGGGCCACAAGACCATCCTGCTTACTGTAGCTGGAAATGCTTGATCTTGGTGACCAGCAGTTTGTACTGGGCGCCCAGTGGAGCCATGGAGGCGACATCTACAAATACCAGTTGTTCCAGAGGTCCCGTTTCATTGGTTGCTTCTGAGGGACACAAAGTACGGCTGACTTCCTGGTAGTTGTAGGTCCTCTGGTATCTGCAGCAGCAGGTGGAAGGAAAAACAAGCACAAATGAGAGAGAGACTTGGTGAACAAGCAAGGAAGAAAAGCAGATCTTATTTCATTTCTCTCCAAATTTGTTTTCGACTTCTTATATTATAAAATTTCAGAGTGGACCTACTGATAGTGATTTAGTCTGGGGCATAGGCTTGTGTGATGTCATAACAGGGACTCGAGGACTCTTCATGCTGACCATGACCACCCTCCGATGGTGTCTACATTATCTTACACCATCTTCCTCATTCAATGAAGAAAAAAATACCAAATTTTGAAGGGGAAACTGTGCTGATAGAACATCCAGTTGATTTCATATTCCCACTCTTTGAGCTTTTGCAAAATGGAACATAAAAAAAAAAGCCCCACAGCCCAAGTCAAGGCTATGAGAGTTACTATTGTTTCAATCGTCAAATTACTCAGCCACTAAAATGAGTTAACACCATGCTAGGTACCTATGTCTGAATGCCTTCTGTTTTTTTTTTCTTAGTAGTGCAATAGTAACTTATACAGTTTCTCCTACAAAAGTATAAACTACACAAGGGCAGGGATTTTGTTTTCCAATCCCCCCACCACTGTATCCCTAGTTTCTAGCACTTAGTAGCACTTAACTGCTATAGAATGAAGGAGGCACACTCTGTGGGCATTTTGAAGAATGGAGGTGTTACTCACTTACGCTGATTCCTGAACCCAGCCCTGTTCTCAGTGAATGATCCAGTAACCAAGAGCTACAGAATATTGTGGATAGAATGAAAATGCTAAACCTTCTTCCGGGTGCTACACATCTACATAGAGTGCTTGCTCATCTGAATTCAAAGAGTCAGAGTGCTTGGGTGGCTTGGTTGGTTGAGCATCTGACTCTTGATTTCAGCTCAGGTCTTGATCTCAAGGTTGTGAGTTCAAGCCCCACATTTGGCTCGATGCCTGGTGTACTTAAAAGACAAAAACAGAAGATGGAAACTGAACAGACCTGGACAGCTTGGGTTAATGTGTTATGAGTATTATTTGCACTTAGGATGCATGTGATGTCAACATTCCAGAAGACTGAGTTCCCCTTTTACTAGGGAAAACACCAAGTAAGGTCTAGGTCATTGAAAGAAAACAGGTGTAGCAAAATTGTCCAGGAGAAGATCTACTTACAGTCCTTGGAAGAGCAGAGGGACCTGCCAGGATAGCACCCCTTTCTGCTGGCGAACCACGACGAGAACTGGGTAGTCGAGGTTCTCTGAGGAACTATTCACATAGACCCGCACAGCGTTCACCTGTGAGCCAGGGCAGAAAGAGGGGTAAGGCAAATCACACACACACACACACACACACACACACACACACACACATCGTAGCTGCCACCTGACATGATCTTCAGTGAAACCAGATTCTGGAGGCTTCAAATGGTAGGCTTCTTTGGACAGTCAATCCAAGGTTTTGAGAATAAGCCCAGAAGAGAGAAAGAAAGATATTGATGTCTCTTCTCATTTGAATATAAATGCTACAGATACAAATATCTTCAAAAAAATTAAAAAAGACCTGCAAGCTCCTTAAATCATTCTGTGCTTCAAACCAAAATGTTATTGCCATGTTTTATTAAAGCCTAGCAGATGGCCTGGTGCTCCCCTAGCAACAGATACCACAGGGGCTGAGTATTTCTCTCTTTGCCCTGCTCCAAGGCATAAATCAGTCCCTGACACAAAATGCTTTTCTCCATCAGCAGCTCCACAGCTCCTTCTGAATACACAGATCAACCCCAGGGATTTAACACTATCATGGCTGTTTTAAGGACAGAAAATTGAGCTGTGGCCCTGGATCTAGATGGTTCTGGTGTTTCCCTTTATTTTGTGTAATACCATAGACTACATGGAAAGAACAAAATAGGAAAAAGATATGGTCAAAATGAAAAAGCAGAACTTGATCTTTCACATGAGATTTCCCCTCCTGCTGTATTAAAACCTTAGTGTTCCCTTGAAAGCTTCTTTATTAGGGAGAAGAACTGAAAGAAGAAAATCTTGCAGCTCTACATGTTCAAAATGGAAACAGAGGAAACAGAACCACGGGGGTATCATGTAACTACTATTTGGTTCTCTTACATCATTCTTCATTAAACAACTTTGCTTTTTTTTAATGTTGAAACAATCCAAGAGTAATTTATTAATTTGGTAAGAAGCACTTGTTCATGAAGGAACATTTTCTTGAGCCTAAGCTCTATATGTTTCCATGGAAATTAAGCTGCCCCTGATAACTACCAACATCCTACCTCTAGTGCAGACCTTTTCCCTAAATTCTGGATGTTCCATGAGCACCTCAAACTCTACCTGTCAGAAATGGAATCTATCACTCTCAACTTTAATTTCATCTGTATTTCCTTGCTTATTGAATGGCCTCACCAGGAAGCCATTTCATCTAATGAGAACCATTAGATGAGAGCCATCCTTGATTCCTACTTCTTTAGCCTTCTCAGTCAATAGGTCATAGAATTCTACTCCTTCTGTGTCCTTCATACTGTCTGTATCCAGACCTTCTCCTCCACCCACAATGATGTTCCCACCGTTCTCATCGTTCATCTTCTCATTGACAGGACCTCATCAAGTCTTCTTATTCCCAGGGCTATGCCCCTTCAGATGTCAGAGTCATCTAGGCATTGTCCTATATGGTTCTTTCCATAGTTTGGTGACCGTGGCCATTGCTGCTATAAATATTGGGGTACAGATGGCCCTTCTTTTCACTACATCTGAAAACTCTGGGAGTTTTCAGATTTACCCTAATACCTGGACTTGTAATTGGCATCTTAAGTGGGAGGTGGGCAATCTTATGGGGCTTAATCTTAACCTTAATCTTAACCTATGAGATCTGATGCTAAAACCAGGTAGAACTGAACTGAACTGCAGGGCACCCAGCTGGTATCACAGAATTACTTGATGTGTCGAAAACCCACACATCTAGTATCAGAAGTGTTTAGTGTGCGTAGAAGAAAATGGAAGTGAGTTTTTCCAATAGACAACTGCCAAGCATTTTTTTTATGTAGTCCAATTTATTTTATTTATTTTATTTTTTTTGTGGACAGTTCTTCTATCACTCTTTAAAATAGAGGTACAGGGATGCCTTGGTGGTTCAGTTGGTTAAGCATCTGTCTTTGGCTCAGGTCACGATCCCAGAGTCCTGGGATTGAGTCCAGCATTGGGTTCCTCCTTGCCTAGTGAGGGCCCTGCTACTGCCTCTGCCTGCCGTTTCCTCTGCTTGTGCATGTGCTCTCTCTCTCTCTCTCTGACAAATAAATAAATAAAATCTTTAAAAAAAATAAAATAGAGATATAATTCACATGCTGCACAACTCCCTCTTAAAGGGTATAATTCAATAGTTTTTAGTACATTTACAGAGCTGTACAACTAAAACCACTATCTAGTTCCAGAATATGTTCATCACTCCAAAAACAAGCCCTGTACCCATTAGCAGTCATTCCTCATTCCCTCCTTCCCTTAATCCCCGGTAACCAATAATCTAATTTTCGCCTCTTTGAATTTATCTATTCTTGACATTTCATACAAACTGTATATGTCCTTTTGTATTTGGCTTATTTCACTTAGCATAGTGTTTTCAAAATTCTTCCATTTTGTAGCATTTGTTTTTATTGCTAAATAATATTCCTTTGTATGCATGTATCACATTTTTTATGTATCCTTCAGTTAATGGACATTTTGGTTGTTGCCACTTTTTGGCTGTTGCAAACAATGCTGCTATGAACATTTATATACAAGTTTTGGTGTGAATATGTTTTCAATTCTTTTGAGTGTATACCTAGAAATAGAATTATTACAGGACATGGCAACTCTACGTGTAACTTTTTGAGGAGCTGACAAAATGTTTTCTAAAGAGATTCATCATTTTACATCCTAGCAATTTACATTACTGGTAACATATAGGGGTTTCAATTTCCCCACATCCTTGTCAATACTTGTTGCTATCTTCTTTTTTTTTTTTTTAATATTTTATTTATTTATTTGACAGAGAGAGAGAGAGAGATCACAAGCAGGCAGAGAGGTAGGCAGAGAGAGGTGGGGGTCGGGGAAGCAGGCTCCCTGCTGAGCAGAGAGCCCGATGTGGGGCTTGATCCCAGGACCCTGAGATCATGACCTGAGCCGAAGGCAGAGGCTTCACCCACTGAGCCACCTAGGTGCCCCTGTTTCTATCTTCTTGATCATTACTGTCCTAGTGGATGTGAAGTGGTATCTTGTTGTGAATCATACAGTATTTTAACTGTTTACCTGCCTGGCTCTTTTAGGGGGCTGCAAACTTCATCTCTGGTGTCTCTAGTGTTGACAAAATGCATGAGCTCAGAAGCAAGCTCACTTTTGCAGTTCATAATCCAAACACTCACTGGCATTATGCAGCACGTGGTTTTAGAGCACGCTTTTAGTCTGGCTTACATCCGTAGTAGTCAGAACTGAGGTAAAACCTAAGGAAAGCTGTAAACTAGGCAAGCTTCCTCTTTAGCTTGTCTGCCCTCTTTTCGGTTACCTAGGAATGCAGCTTCCTCTTCTCTTCTTAAGGTACTCAGTGCCAGAAGGGATTTCCCTCCACTTCCTCCCCCCACACTTTAAGACAGTGATTCTCAACTGTTAGTTTGCTTTCTGGCATTTGCATCCCTCAAGCCCACCCCTAGCATTTCCGATTCAGCAGATCAAGCACAGTACCTAAAAATATGCATGCTTACCAAGCCTGCTGTGGGGTTCTGAGGCACATGGATTAGAGCCTACACTTTGGGAAGTACTGATCCCACAAATCCAGCTAGTGGATGACCCCGTTTGTCAGCAACTTGCCAACTGCCCATTATTATGAAGTACACAACCATGACACCACCAAATGTCATGAGTGTGTCTGGAAGCTGGTATGTAATGGGGCTGAAACAGGGCCAGAAGGAAGGAGATCTGTAGGGAACACAACAGATACATCACAACGAGATTACCCCACTCCCTGCTCATTGCCACACCTAATTTTATTCCTTGTCTGGCTCTTATAATCCATTTACTTTTGTATTATATAGTAATGGTCTTACTAATTATAATAAAAACACTCAGAGATACTGACGTAATAAATTGCAGAAAAATATATTAGAGTAGGAGATAGAAGACACTGGGCAGCTTTTCGACACAAATAGATAATGCATTGCCCCCAGGAAAGGATAAAGAGTCCTGTTCAAATTTTGCTTTGCTTTTTCAGAGGCTAATGTGCAACTGAGAAAATTGGATTACATTTGCTACAGTGAAGTAAGCCCTGTAGAGGCAAAACTAAATGAAGGACAGAGTATGGACCATGCATGATCGTGATACCTTGTAACAGACCATTCTTTTCTTTTTTTAAAAGATTTTATTTATTTATTTGACAGAGAGAGAGAGAGAGAGAGAGAGAGAGAGACAGCAAGAGAGAACACAAGCAGGGGGAGTGGGGGAGGGAGAAGCAGGCTTTCCGCAGAGCAGGGAGCCTGATGCAGGACTCAATCCCAGGTCCCTGGGATCATGACCTGAGCTGAAGGCAGAGGCTTTAACCCACTGAGCCACCCAGGTCTCCCTCTGGAGACCATTCTTAAGAGCCAAGATTTCCCCTCCTGTGGCTTCTTCCTTTTGTCATGAGCATTTCATAGTCCCCCCAACCCTTATCCATGGGGGAGTATGTCCAAGACTGCCAGCAGTTGCCTGAAACTGCAGATAGTACCAAACCCTATATATATTTTTCCACACATACATACGTAGATGAAGTTTAATTTATACACTAGGCACAGTAAGAGATTAATAACAATACCTAGTAATAAAATATAATAATATATTATAATAAAAGTTATTGAATGTGCTCTCTCTCTCTCTCTCTGTCTCAAAATATCATACTATACTCACCCTTCTTCTTGTGATGATGTGAGAGGTTAAAATGCCTACATGATGAGATGAAGCAAGATGAGATGAAGTAAGATGAGAGATGTAGGCATTGCAACGTGGTATTAGGCTACTATTGACCTTTTGACATATGTCAGAAGGAGGATCATCTGCTTCTGGACTGTGGTTGTCCATGGGTAACTGAAATTGTGCAAAGTGAAATCACGGATAAGGGGGGACTGCTGTAAACATATCTACTTTCTATGTTCATTACAAGCAAGGAGTTGAGTTATAGCTAAGAGAGGAGAATTATTTAAGTACTTCCATTTCTGATATTATATAGACCACAATTATGAAAGGTCTTAAAGCTTCGAGACTCCCTTTTTAATCTTTTGGAATGTGTC